ACAAATCGAGTTTATACATATTTACATATACATTTACGAACACCGGTTGGTAATTATTGTACAATCGGATCACCAACAACTCGCCGGATTTCGAATGTCACTGTCCCGCGTCGTTGGGCTACTCTCACGCCCTTAGAACCGCTCATTTTAGACTGTCTACGTGCCGTAGGTTGTTGGACATTCGCCCACGTGTGCGCGGTGGGACCAGCATCTGTTGACAATACTTTTTAGGGTCAACAGATAAATATTTTAATTAGTAAAAATTATAAATAAGTAAGTTACTTATTTGATATGGACATAAGGGTTACTTTAAAAAAATAACTATTTTTACTTCAAATTAAGAAAAGGTAAGTTATTCAAACATTTTTGTGGAGAACAATTAAATTTACTAATGAGTACATATGGGTTTGTTTGGGTCCCCTTTTTTGGAAGAATAGATTATGTAAATAAGAAAATTTTTTAAGTTCACGTGTAAAATTATTTTATTGAGAGAATATGTTTGAAAGTGAATTTGAGGAAATTTGAATATTTAAAGAATGGGACTCGAATAAGGGCAAAGTAAGTTTTAAAATAAAATAACCTTTTTATTAAATCAAGTTTAAAATAAGTAAATTGCTTATTTTGCAACAATACAGTGTCTTAATCCAATACCCCATAATCCTATCCTTCCTAATCAAGTAGGGTGTAAGTGTAATACTTGTAGCTAGCCTAGCTCCAATATGTTTTGCTTTCTTAAATAAAAATAAATAAATAAATAAATGTTGAACCCCAACCTTGAGGGCCCCTACTGCCCCTGTTTTGCTTTCTTCATAAGGCTAACATTTGTATATTTCTTAAGCATTACATATTCCAGTTCTATTATTAATTAGTCTGAATCTCCCTTGAGTTACTTCCTTTATTTTATTTTTTAAGCACCATTCATCAAAGAATTATAGCTGATATTTCATATATAAGTTTTTCATTGGAATTTCCTTTTTTTAAGAATTAAGAAAGCAAAATAGAGTGCAGGTTCATGAGTTTTATGATTGCATTCCCTGAATTCTTGGCAGAATGAAGAACAACATAATCATAACAAAATTACAGGCTAAATTGCTATAAAAATTAATTTCATCTAGAAAATTCATCTGGTATGTATGCTGCTCAACTTTACCTTACATTAAATTGTTAGATTTCTTAATTTCAATCAAGAGGCGTAATGCACATTGCTGAAGGTGTATGTATCAAAGAATCCTGAAAATGAATCAATTATAATCAGATTAGTCCAAGGCAAAAAGGTAATTAGTATAGGATGGCCTTTCATATGAAACATTATTGAGTATCTGTTTTGAATTTTTGTTTATTAACATATTTAAGTAGAAATGTACGATCTTCTCCGGGCAGCTCATCTTCTACATATGAGTCTTGGTAGCGTCATATCGGGTATTTACTTAAACATGTACAGTGGAGCTAAAACAATTTCAATATCACCTTTCTGTTTGGATAGAATTTGACATATGTAGAGAGGTGTTGACCTGGTTTCCGATCAGGGCCACATGGACAATAGATACGGAATCCACCCACGCACACGTAAGCCAAGTCCTACACGCTAAGGCACAACGATTGTTTGGAACGGCCTAAGAAGAGGTGTGGAAGCAGCTCAAAGGCGTGGGACGACAATGTTTGGAATCCTGCAATACATTTGAAGAGCGATTGTACGACAATTACCTATCATAGGGGATCAATGTTATGTAAACTCAATGGTATTTGTAAGAGAATGAAATGGAGTGAACTGTTTATATTAATTATAGTATTGAGTTTTGTATGAAATTTGCATTCACCTTACAATGAAGCTATGGGGGAGTATTTATAGTAGTGCAAGGTGAATTGTAGTCCTCGGATGAGAGTACACGTGGCCTCATCTCCACAATCCATACATCTAGTCCTAGGCATCACCTTTAGCCCACTTTACATTTATTAAGTGGCAGAATCGTCACTTTGTTTGATAAGACTTGACACAAACTCTATGATAGACGTCACATCAATCATTTGACAAAGATACAGGCGAAGGAGCAGATCTCTTGAAAGAAGCAATAGTGAAGGTGCCTCAGAAGCCATGGCCTCGGTTCATTGGCCTCGAAGTGACCCACCTCGGTGTCGAGCCTCGGTTGAGGCATTGAACTTGGTTGATTCGTACATGCCAAGGTGCCTCGGTCACCATGCCACATGCCTCGGCTTAGGTGGGCCAAGGGCCATAATGGATCGGCCATGTGGAGCCACTTATGACGAGATGTAACAAGAGTTATACCTTTAGCGATTCCTGGGACAACTCTGAATATGATCACCACGATATCATAAGTTCAATCTTCCAACCTCGAATATAAATTCATGGATCTCCTTTCGAGAGAATTAGGTTTGGATTTTTGCGTATTTCTGCTATCTATGAGTAATGAAAAGTACATATAACCATAAACCTGAAACGTGTATATATAACTTTGTACAAATCGTATTAAGATTAGTAAACCCTAATCACGTTGAGCCCTAGAAATAATTAATCTTATTAATTAGTTCAATCTCATAAATATAATAAGTACAATTGTAATAATTGAGTCAAAACAACTACATGATATTTACACTTCATTGTAAAAATAGATATTTACCACAATAAAATAGCTGTCATAAATTCTATATTCTATTAGCGAGGACAAGGACACTGTCATAAAAAAAAAAATTCTTGTGGTGTTAGCCAAGAAATTAGAACAATATTGCGACATCGATCTTATCAAGTGTTTCATGTAGCTAGCAACATATTGTGATAGGCAAACACTTTTAAGGAGCTAAATTGTGCCAAAGTCCAGGTAAAACACATTATATATTTATATAGCAAATAAGACAATTATTATAACATTTATTTATTTATTTGCAAGAACAGTCTTATTCTAGCATTAAGAAATACACGAAAATTAAACCAACGCGAAATAGCAGTTCGTTGGTGAATTTTTCAGTCTATAGTATAGCAAATTTCTTCGAAGGCGGTTAAGTTTTCTTCAAATAGAGGTATGAAAACGTCTATGCTACCATCCCCTATAAAAGACGGTAGTAAGAACATCATGCCCTCCGTTGGATAGTAACTTGGCATAAAAACATACGGGCACCCTCCTCCAAAATCAAGGTCATAAAATGGAAACCGTAACCAACTATCCACCTCCAAATTAGGGCACAGTGTAGTTTTTGTCATGTCTGCAGTTGTCATCAGATTTTCTTCTTTTACCTTAAAATTTGCGAAGTCAATAAATGATCTAAAATAGTTGTTGTTTACCTTTGTAATTGCATCATGAATGAGTTTTACTGCATAGAACAAGGGTTCTTGAAGAAGGGTTTTCACTTTTGCACTTGGAAATGCCCAAAGAACCAAGTTCCCAAAATATTCATTTGAGACTTTAGGGTTCAGCCTCTGTCGGCCATCAATCGAGATGCGTATTTGGGTTGTTTCATGTCCATTGAGGCATCGGGACTTGGTTATGGCTCTCCAAAGATGAGCAACTAGGCTTTCAAATTTGGTGAATGGTTTATTGTTGTTTCCATTCATTGAAGATGCCTTGTCCTTGAGCTTCGCAAGAAATTCTACTGTGTAATGAACTTTGTGGACTACAATGTTGTCAACACTATTGTGTTTAAGATTATGGGTCTTCAAGCTTGTAAATTCCACTCCTTTGTGCTCAAACTCAAAGATAGGAGGGTTTCTAGGAGTGAATATGGTACGATCATGCAAAGGGAGTGGACTAATTTCCAGTCCTCGACAAGCTTGGCCCCATGCAACCAAGAATTTGCTAGTGGAATGCCCGTCCGCAACAAGGTGGTGACTGGTGAAGCCCACCACCAATGAGCCACATGTGAACCTTGTGAGCTGAACTTGGAGCAACTCGACCACTCCCATCTCAGAGAATGAGTCTTTCTCTTCATCACGGGCTCGAGGGCAAACCCTCTGTTTCAAGCTAGGGTGAAGGCTTAGCAAAGTTGCTGAAGGTTTAAGGAGCAACGCTTGATCGAGAGGGCCATCGACATATGCCTCGATGAATCTAACACCCTCATCATTGAGAAGTATGATAGGTTCGCCTTTATCGTCTTTGCCTAGCCTTCCAGCCCACTCTCGGTACACGACCAACACCTTCTGCAGCGCTACCTTTATGGCTTTATTTGGCGGAGTTGGCGGGCGGAAAGCATAAATAATAGCCATGTGTGAGTCATATGTTGCCTTATCGAAGACTGAAAGGGAAATGTTGTTTCTTGTTTGGGGAGGGGTGTCTTCGTATAAAGGTTTAATCATTCTTGAGCTTCTTAATTGCACCTTCATGGCTATGGCTAGAGGGGACGATATTGTACTTCAAGTTGGTTTTGAGTTTCATTTGTGAAGCCACTGCTTGGATTTATTGTTGGAGTAATGCTATGTAACCCCATTGGGATTACAATCCCAATCTAGGTGACAATAAACGATAGGTTAAATGAAAGGTGGAATTAAATAAATTATTTAATTCTACATATCAATTAATGCTACATTATCGCCACCTAGACTGGAGTTGCAAATCCAGTGAGACTAAATAGCATTACTCCTTAAAGTTGGGATTAAATGAATTATTTAACCTTACTAAGTCGTAACGGAAACCAATTTTATTGGCCAACTTTGTAGGTCAAGTAATTGATGGCATAAATAAGGTGGTAATTATTTTTTAAGAGGCAATTTATTGTTTGAATTAAATTGGTTTGTAAACCTGGTCAAATATATGATGGCATATTGATGGATCATATCATCTCTTATTTAGTGTAGGGAACAACACATAATTCCTACATATAAGAATCACATTTCAAAGTTAAAAACTTGTCAAATTATTTCAAAATTAATTCAGGTGTTAAATCCATTTAATAATATATATAATATATAATTAATTAAATTTAATTATCCCACCCACCTCTGAAAATCCAAGAACGACTAATCAAGAGGGGTTGAATTGGTTAGCTAAATCTATTTCGAAAACAAATGCAAATTTAAGTAATTAGCAAATAAAATAGTAAGCAAGCAAGATAACACAAGAAAAATAATAAGTAGAAGGGAATAGAAAGCGCAAATCATGTGATATGGAAGTTCGATCCAAACAACGATCGGTGTCCTCTGTAACCAAGCTCTCCGTCACGAACAATACCTTTTTCACTATAGTTGATTGACTTCTGGGGCAATCTAACACTTACAATGCTTCCGGTGACTTACAACCAAGGAGCATCGATTCTTTTACAACGTTGAGCTTTTAGGAACCTCAACATGATCCACAATCAAAACAACAAAACAAATTTTACAAGTGAAAGCTTCTCTCTTATAAATGATATTAACATAATTAAGTATCAATAGAGAAGTAGGCTCAACATTTCAATAATTGCAAAAAGTATGGCTCAAGTGTTGGTTGAAAATTTTTGATTGAAATAAAATATTTTTGCAAGTTTTGATTACTAAAAAAGTTTTTCAATAATTAAATAATTTGATCTTCTAAAGATTGGGAAATAAGGTAGGAAATATCAATAAATGCCTCACTTAAATGCTCAAGAAAAGTATGTCAATGAATGCAAGGTGTGGTGGAATTTATAGTTGTAAAATCATCAGAAAATATGTCCTACCGGACGAGTCGTACCGGATGTCGGCTATCATATCGGACGGTTCACTAGCCATTGTATTTCAGAAAGGTTAAAATTTTTTACCATTGGTTCTACTAGACGTTTGTTGCAGCAATTTTTTATAAAATTCTTTCTTCAATGAATTTGACAATAGCAATACTTTGAAGAATGTTTTTACCTGATTTTTCAAGATAAGTGGCATTTCATATAAGATTGAATTCGTTATCTTAAGAAATTGTCTTATGTAAATATTTTGGTGCGATAATTTTGTGTGTGTATAAAACTGGAACTTGAACCTTTAAGATTTATTTGCCAAATATTGAAGCATATTACCTTTACATATGAGGTTAAAACGTCTAAGTCTATTATCTTCAATAAGGCTCTTCGTCTTGACGTCCATGTTAGACTTATGCTTTCATTTCAATAACAATTTTCACAACATCAATATTAATTCTGTGTCAATCATCACTTTGTTTCGAACTTTGCCTCTTCAAATTTGATTTGCAATTTTCTCTACCAACACTCGAATACAATTTATTAGAAATAAATTCAATTTGTTTGTGATAATCAAAACGAGAAGCCAACCTTAGGTCAACACACCCCACTTCCACTCCCAACCACTACCCTACACCACCTTATCCCATCCACCTGTCCCTATGTCTCAAAAAACTTCTAGAAATTAAAAACTGGAATCACATCCCACCCCACTGAACTACCCATCCTACCCCATCTCCACCTCCACCTCCCAAAAAAATTCCAAAAATTAAAAAGTGGAGATTATATCCCACCTCACAGAAGTTTGTATTCAATGTGAATAACTTTAATCAAATTAGTATTTAGTGTAATTATCTGTGACCAAGTCAGTATTAACTGTGACGGTATGTGATCAAGTCACAATCGGTTACAATCAACATAGAATTAATAACAACTTTCACAATCAACACATACTTGTCGACAAAAAGTCATCACGAATAAATTTTCACACACCACAGATCATTTCCACAGTCTACTACCAGTCACCACCATATTCAACTCCAACATTACTTCATGAACTAACCTGTGTTATTTGTGACTAATTGGGACCAATTTTATCTTCAGTGTGATTGCTTGTGACTATATGGTCTAATTTGTGACCATATATAAACAAGTCATATATAGTCACAGTTAACAAAGATCTGGTCATAGATAGTCACAATGAAGATAGATTTGATCATAATCAAGAACTAAACGAACACAACATCACCACCACCTCACCACCGCAACCAACATCATAACCACTACTACCCTAGCACCACCAACAAATCAGATCCAAAATTATCATGACTACTACCAACACCACAAGCATCTCATGAGTGCCATCAACATCAACACGACTACAGCCATAGCCATGAATGACAAATACAACAAACAAAAACCACCCCTAAAATATATTGATTGAAAATGAAACATCACATCTAAAAATTAGGTACAACTATGTTGCTGCAGCAAACCCACGTACAGCCGCACTACTACCTGTGGATTTATTGTTGTTGTAAGTACCATTGCCTAGTTCGCCCGAATTTTTTTGCAACTATCACAACATTAGTGACGGTTGTGAAGAAGGTGCCACTACTCACAGCAATAGCAGTGCCTTGCTATGCCGCTGTGCAGAACAGTTCTGGACCCAAAAGAGATGATACAGAGTGAAGAGTAGGGTGTGTGGTAAAGGGAGAATATATGGAGAAGAAAGAGAGTGAGAAATTTTAGGCTTTGAATCGAAATGCACTGGGTTGGGGATGAATATATAAATTAAATTTAATTAAATTTTTATTGATTACAATTAATAATCCCATTTACCACCTAAAATCTAAAATCTAAACTTAACCACCTTATTTATGAAAACAAATCTTTAATTGTAGGTTCTAGGTAATTTTCGCTTTAATGTATTGTTCAATCATAAAACTTTAAGTAGAGTAGGGGACAATATGTCATTTTAGTAGTTAGGGGTTTTCTTAAGATTTTACTAAATAAGTGAGAGTTGAAGGCTCTATTATAAGTTGGTTGTTCTTAACTTTTTTTATTAATAACATTGAATCTTTGGAAGCTTATTCAAGATGATTATGCGCAAATCATCGATTTTGATCATGCATTTATCTTTAGAGAAAATTATAGCAGCAGTCCCTAACCTTTTCATTTTTTGTAGACTTTATACTAACCTTAATTTTGTGCCAGCGGAGGTTCCTAACCTTTCATAAATATGCACCTGAGATCCATCTGGATAGAAATCATCAAAAACACCATCAGTTGACCAAGAAAATTAAGGACTCAACATCCAATAAAATCGTCCAAAACACCGTCCAAAAAAGTATCAACATCCAATAAAATCATCAAGGTAGCAGATAGTTCAAGAAATTTTTCTGGTTAACTGATTGTGCTTTGGATGGCTTTCGTCCAGATGGACCACAGGTACATATTTATAGAAGGTTAAAGACATTCACTAGCACAAAATAAATGTTAGAATAAAGTCTGTAAAAAAAAAAGTTAGGGATCGCTGATACAATTTTTCCTTTATCTTTATTCACACTCGATCCTTGTGAGTTGGTATTAGAGTAAGTCCATGCAAGTGATCATGGCTTCTCAACATAAGAGTTTGATTGGGAAACACGACTATAGGAGGTCAAGCATGAGAAGATGGCACACATGTGTTAGTAGACACACTTAATCGAGAACGACAAAGAGAGCTAGGCATTTAGGACAGCAATCATGGCTAGTTGTTGATTTCAAAATGCAAGAAAAATTCTTATCTCCTTTCGATCCTGAAAAGTAGGATAAGTTACATGGTGATGACACCCTGCACTATGGACCGTCTACCTTAAATCTCTTTGTTCCTTTTGATCCGGAAAAGTTACATGGTGATGACACCCACTATGGACTATCTATCTTCGACGAAAAGATTGAAATCTTTTTCAGTTTGGATGGTATTAGTTACAATGTTGCACCTATTTCTGATTAAGGTTGAGGATTCAAGCAATTATGGCGTGATCGGGAACTCGATTATGATTAAATGGAGAAGCCCACTGTCATTAAGGCCTTTAAAATTTGGATTATTCTACTTGTACATTCATGGGTACAACTTATATGACATAATGCACAGGTGGCATTCTGTCATTGACTAGTAAAAAATAAAAAAAAATAAAAAATTCACCAACTAATGATAGAAAGCCACTTGTGCATGATGTCATCTAGGAAACTCGACTATAGGAGATCGAGAAAGGTTCTTCTTTGTGAAAAAAAAATCTTCGCAGATGGAACAAAATTTGTAGACAAATTTGTGGGGCAAACATTGAGGAGAAAGATAAAAGACGACAAATTTTTGAAATTTGTGAGTTTAAGTTTTTCCCTACGAACCTTTTGGAGATGAATACAATCCATCTCGTAAATTTTTCCCCAACAAAATCATTTGTTTGCTAAAGTTAATTTTTGGCCCACGAAACGATTTGTGGGCACATGGTACAAATTATGCTATGGAGTAAATCGAGCTTTTCCATACAAATAAATTTTTAGATGAAAAATATTTAAAGGCTAAGATATACATATTTCTTCCAACAATTAAAAATTTGTAGCAACACGATACAAATTATTTTGTAGGCTAAGCCCTTTTCTCTACAAATAATTTTTTGTAGAAAATCATATTTGTAGGCAATTATTTGTCTCAACAATAAAAGAATTCGTAGGGAAAAATTAATTTC